ATTTTGATATAATTAAAATGTGTTCATTAAATCTAAACCTTAGTAGTTTGATCTAGTTTGATCTAGATTAGTCAGAGTCTAATATAATTTCGAAATTGATTAGTGTTATAAGGGGGGAAAATAAAATGCATGTTTGAAAAGAAAATTAAGTTAAATTTCTTAGAAACAAAGAAAAAGCAGTGATGCTTTTTCAACTTCACAATTTGACTTGTGATGCAATACTTGGGATTTCTTGTAAGAAATTAAATCTCATTTCAAGTAAAATTATGTTGATTATGGTAATTTAATTCAGAGAGAATCCCAAAAAATATTTTTAGATTTTAAAAGTTTATATCAATCTTATTCATTACACTTTAATAACAATTAACAACATTTAAAAAGTAAATAACAGCAATATTTTGTAGTCATTTCTAATTTATGATTTTAAAAATTTAGAGATATTTTTTGGGGATTTTTATTTTAGTTAAAATTAATATTTAAGCTTAAAAGAAATTTTTTTTCCTTTGTAGTTACTAGTTTTTTTCATTTTGGTCCAAGAATTAATATTGCTATTTATCATACATTATTCACAAAATGATGAACAACTCAACTTATTTTGCCATACGAGGCTTATGAAACCCAAATATATTGGGTGTAATTTTTTATTGTACCTTTTTTTTGTTAAAAACAATGTATTCACGTAATTAAAGTAATGAATTTAGATCATACGAATTATATAGATACAAGAAAATTAATTAGTTAATTGAATTATTGCCTTTTGTTATCATAAGATTGTAAATGAGATACAAAGGAATCAGCTTAGACATTAAAAGGTAATTTTGACCCAATAAAGTTGGAAAGAAAATGAAACTATTATGAGCCTAAAAGCACAAATGCACCGGTTATCGTCCAAAAATTACACAAGCTATGTTTCAGTACTTATAACGATGTGAGAAGTTCAGGTATACGAATATTTTCTCACAAAATTATACACAATGAATTAAAAATTAATAGAGCCAGAATTAAATGGGTCATAGGTTTGGGCTAGCATATCCCGTCCTTTTAATTAAAGCACTTGGGCTTGTTGATTTTAGCCTTTAAAAACACCGTACATCATCATCATCATCTTTTTTATTATTTTTTCGCCCAAATAAAGATTGATAAGTTTTTTTTTGGGATAATTAATCCACAACTCCTTATAGTTTCAACTAATTTGAATCAGGTCTTTATGGTTTTTTCTTTTTATCAGGTCCTTATACTTTACTTGTTTTTAATTAGGTCCTTGTATTTATTTTTCTTTTTATCAAGTCCTTATAAGTTTATCTTATTTTTAATTAAGTCCCTGAATTTTTTATTCTTTATTTTATAAATTCTAATAGTACTATTATATAAACATAAAATAGTATATATTATTTAATATTAGTTTATAAACAATAATATTCTAAAGATATTGAATTATTATAATGATTTTATTTTTTTCAGCAAAAAAATTAATCGTTCTAAAAAATTTCTGAATTAATTAATTCTATTACTTTTTTATTACATAATTATTAATTTAATTTAATTATTAATATTTTATATTTCAGTATTAATCTATTTAATTAAGCTTATATTTAATTAATAAATAAAAATTAAAACTACATGGACCTGATTAAAAATTTAGTGAAATTATAAGGATTTAATTAAAAGAAAAATAAATAGAAGGATCTAATTAAAAAAAGGTAAAAGTATAAGGACCTGATAAAAAGAAAAAAAACTATAAGGACCTGATTCAAATTTGTTGAAACTATAAGGACTTACGAATTAATTAAACCCTTTTTTTTTTTGGGAATCTAAATGTTCAATAATTCCCATTTTAATCATACACACACACATATATAGATTTGTATGTCTACTTTGTTGCAATAGGATATCATGTCGTGTCTTTAGTCCATTGTTATGAAAGGGGGGGGAAAAAACTCCATATGGATTTTCTCTGCTAAGTTGATAGTTCACTGCAATGGTAAATTATCCGATTAAATTTAATGGTTTAAATTTTATAATTTGTAAAAATGCAAATTATTCAGTTAAAATTTGATATAAACAATTCAAGATTGCAAAAAATGTAATGAAGAAAAATATAGGGAAGAAAACTTAACTCTTACTTGTGAGGTATGAATTAGATGACATGATGCAAGCACAAACAACAAATCAAAATAGATGGTAAATTTTTTAGCAAATAAATAAAAACAATCGGTGAGTTGAGTCTGAAAATTCATCTACATTAGACTAAAAATTTACATACTCTAACCCTTAATTTGGATGGGAAAATGGAGAAAAAATATTAGAAGGAAAAACTCCCAAAATTCCTTTTTTTCCTTTTGGGGAAGGATTTTTCATTTAATAATCCCCTCTCTTCCTTCCATTTTTCCTTCCGTCCAAACCAACCCCAATGATAAGTAAATTCCTTTGTAAACAAAAAGTCATGAGTTTAATCTTGTTTAGGTCAAGGATGTCTGCCCTTCTTATTCAAACAAAAACACAAAGTGGCATTCAACACACGGGTATCATTTTCTAGTTGCATCAAGCATCATTAACAATAAATAAGATTAGAATGCTGTGGTGCCAGTAAGAAATAACAATATAACATCAAGGTGCTAAATATTATGTGCTAGGGAAAAAAATCCATTTGTCAAATACTACCTCTAATCTTAATATAAGAGCTTGTTTGACTTTTCAATTTGGTCTTGAGTATAAGACTTTAATCCACTTCGTCTTTCATATTTATTTATTTATTATCAAAGTAATCCTTGTAATGGTTGCACATGTTAAAGATTTCATCACATAGTGGTTCTAACTAATACACATGATTAGCAAAGGTATTTTAGGAAAAACAATACTTATTTATTACAAATAACTAGCTTAACTAATTCTATTAATTTACTCAAATTAGTCAACTAATTCTTATATTAAGGACCAGAGATATACTAAAGCTGAGGTTGCACTGTACCGGAAAGCTATGATTGAACGACAGGTGCAGAGCAGACTAAACATGGAAATTTGGCTGGAAGACAAGGCAGTGCCAGAAAAAGAGCAAACATTGACAAAAATGCTATGTTAACTGTACAGTGTTGTACAAAACAATCATGGCTTGATCATGAAATCTTTGGAAACAAAACGTGTTCCTTGTGGTCACTAAAATCAACATATGACGTGTTCCTTATGGTCATTAAAATCAACATATGACCTCTTGGTACCCTAAAGTTGCTACCATAAGGAGAATCAAAAGCTTCATACCACCACAAAGTTTTATCTAACAAAGTGGTCTCTGCACATCTTCAAAACATTCACTGTTACACAGACGTGTTGCAATTGCAATTTCTAGACACAATTCTGAAAGAAACCTGGGTTGCAACAAACAAGCATACCAAAAAAAAAAAAACAGAGGTGGTTCCCCCTGAAAAGTGGATCAGACAATTCTGAAGTACAATTCTTGCATAGTCAGAAAAGTGCAAGGAGAAGATGAAACTTCCAGTTGCACCACCAATTTTTTGTGGATTTTCAAGAGCTCATTGTGCAACTAGCTGTACATAATATGAAGATAAGAATTTCTCAGACATGCTTAAATCATAACTAGCTTGATTTACTATAGACTATGTATTTTGGTGCAGCTTCTAATCAAGCCAAACCTCAAGACACACCGATATGCCAACCAATCTCAGAACTAAATGACAAAGCTGGCTGGAAACTAAGCACCAAACAGGCCTACCCAACATCACCATAGAAGGTTCTGATATCCATTTGTTACATCAGAATTTCTATATATGGCAAGGAGTCCGGTCATGCTTCACCTTAAAGCTGCATTCCCTTAGGACGCGACTGTCTAAGAATCCTACCGGCTGGAGAATCCTGAAGAATAGTCTATTCCAGAATCACCTAGAAAGAAATGCATCTATCAGAACAATTTAACTTTGATATAATGCAAACTAAATGAGTACTAATAGAAGCCAGGCTCATTACTCTGTGGAGATTCAGTGACTGGTGGGATAGGTGATGACATGCTCCTCATCCCCTTATCTGTGACAGTTGAATGGAAATAATATAGTATTAATATCAATATTTGATACATATATTCAATATATATATAATAAAATTTATAACAAGCCGAATTATTCAGCAGCCACATACGGCTCATTCTCAGATTTTGTATAAATACACTGAAAAATGTTTCTAGTAATAACCCAATGACAAATTAATGATCATGTCTCTTCCTCTCCACAATAGCCAGTCAAAGTGATAAACCAAAGAAAATTAAAAATTATTACTTGGGTCTTAAAATATAAATGTTCTATCAATCAAATCTACAAAAGACGGCTGCCATTGCCAACTTACCATTATTTGACTCCAACATTTTTTTAAAACCCATCGATATAATCCTATTAAGAGTTCGTTTAACTATCAATTTAGTCCACAACATGACCACATAATTTTTTTTTTTTAAAAAAAATAGTCAACCTCTTCTAAGGACTGAATTAGCAGAACATGTTTCTTTCAGAGATTCGAGTAATATTTACTAAGATACCCAAATTAGCGAGAAAACGTCAATGTGATCACAAGTGGATGTTGATGCAGCTAATGCTGTTTTACACCTTGAGAAGGAAGGGGGGAGGGATTTTTTCAGAAAAGATAACTATTCATGATCTTTAACTTTTAACCACATATTGCTCCTGGTAAATTACAATCAGAGATTGAACAAGTGTTTGTATCTCAGACTAAAAGCATAATGAATCCCCATTCAGCCAAATTATCACCAGCATATAATATAAAATTTGGATCTGGCCGTATTATTTAACAACCATGAACAATGCGGCTTATTTCTCAAATTTTTTGCAATGCAAGGGGCCTGCCTATTTAGTTATCTAGAAAAGTGAAAAAAATGCCAAAAAGGTATAACTGCCCTTGTAAGACTTCAGCTGATAACAAAATGTCGAGAGATCTAGAGATAAGAAGGGAAAAGTATGATGGAATTTCTGGGGAATAAATCACGTACCCATAGTATGATGCATGCCTTTGACAGCATCAAAATTCTTATATGTATAACCAACAAAGCTAAGATCTTGAGGAGTCAATAGCATCTGCATACCAAAAAAAAAAAGTCCCAAGGTGTTTCCAAACACATTGTTACCATAAAGCTCAGCGAAAATGTGTCAAGGTAAAAATTATAAACGCCAGCAGGAAAGAAGAAAATATGATCAGATGCATTAATTTGTATCATAAGGACAGGCAGATTGCTAAGTTATTTCTCAAACCATCAATCTTAGAAAGTTCATTACCAGCAAGAATCAAACCAAAGACCCTTTTGGTTGATATAGCTCAATGTTACCAATTGAGCCAACCCACCTAGCACCAGCAAGAATTGAACTTTTTGTATTTGACTTCAAAAAAATATATAACTACTAAGTAATTATTCTTACACCCCATTCTGATGAGGGATTAGAAGCCTAAAGATCAGAAAATAGATTTAAGGACTCTAATGATGATACACACTAAGGCAGCTGAAACTTTCCATTTCAAAATGAATGACACAAAAGTAAACAAATGAAGTGAGTTACTAGATTGTTGCCTTACAGGTGCAATTAATTTTCAAGTAAATGGAATGGATACCTTTCTGATGGGACCAGATCCAATTCTAGTTGGTTTTGGTTGCTCAACCTATTAACACAATTACAATCATGTCATAAGAAGGTAATCACACCAGGTAAGAGAAACAGATATGAAAATTTATTCGCCCATAACAAACATAGCATCCAAAAGAAGGCACATTTACAAACAATCACTTCATCACAACGTTTTTTTAGAGAAATCCATTCTATTAGAGAATGGTTCTACTAAATGAGACTGGATCTAATCAGACAAACAAGTAATCATGCAAACAGACTCACATATGCATACAATTTGAAGGAGCTCAGACATTGTTCTATCTGCAATTAGTATTGGCTCAATGAAACAGCACGATATAATAACATCACAGGACAAAGTAATTATGCCCTTCTCTTTGATATTCAACAAGAAGTATTTGTTAGGAGTTACAGAAGTTGTGACATATTGCATCTGAATGAACGGAGTAAATACAAATCAGTGATTGGTCATGATGGCCAAGGGATGGACAACTGGCAGGACCAAGAAACAGAGTCAGAGAGATCATGGATGTAAACCCCATCGGGCATAGCAGCCAGAAAGAATTCATCATATCTAACCTCATCAAATTTCATAAAATTCTGTGTGTCAAGCTCTCCATTGACTTGTGGTTTGAATGCTGCTTCCATTTCGTAGAGTTTATCCCATACAACATCTTTGAACCAAGGATGTGCCTGGTCAATTAGTTGGCGATAATGTTAAGACAGGGAAAAGTGATGTAATTGTGAAGTTCTATAGTTAAACACATTTTACAAACTTTAATTTCATCTGCCCCTCTAGTTCCAAGTCTTCGGTCAGCATCACAGAGCAACCTACAAATTAGATTCATTGCCTCAGGTGTCAGCCTTGCCTCCTCTGGAAATTTTAAATGATGTTTCCAATGTACAATCTGCAGCCAATCATCACCAAGGCCACAGAAAGGAAGGTAATTTCAACCTCAACTTAAAGCCCCAAATCCAAACAAAAAGAGGTAAAATAATTGATAAATGCTAGCATCTACTCAAATTTTCATAAACTTTAGAAGGAAGATAATTAATACTCCTCTGATCCTATTTATAAGTCACTTCTAATATATTTCACATAGACCAAGAAAAACGTTAAACTTCTTTAACTTTCATTTAAAATCTAACAATTTTTCAACTTCATCCCTATTTAATATACATTACACCTCATATAAACAAAGTCAAACAATAATAAATGAAGGGTAAAATTGTACATTTATGCAAAAAAATTTCTCTTAGTGCTCTATAAATAGACCAAAAAATGTCTTCTCTCTCTGCCTTACAAATAGGACCCAGAGGAGTATAGGCTTTATTCCATTGTATTTAAAAAAAAAAAAAAAACCAACAGCAAATGAGACTAACAAGTAAGCCACAGGGTTGAGTAACCACATAATTGACATCAAAAGTGTATCATGAGAAATGGTTCAAAGTAACTAATCAAGCCCAAATAATTACTAGAGGGTTCAAGTTTTGAATTCATAAAACTCCATCTAAATGTTCTCATGCTAAATCCTTGACAAGGGAGTAAAAACTCTATATTACCTTGGATTTCCACAATTTCTCAGAGTTTGGTTCATTGTGTGGTATTTCATTTATGATGGGTGAAGAATCAAAATTTACGATTATAGAGCTTTCCATGAGCTTATGTAAAATATTTCTAGTTAAAGTAATATTTTCTGGATTAAAAAATTAGAAACCAGATATACGAAAAGCAGTAAAATTTATGGTGGTGAGAACAATTAAAACAATCTGTTATTTACTCACCTTTGTTTTTGAAACATCAATCTAAATAAATTAGCAGATCGAAATTGCCATTACGGCCACGTCCAACTTTTTTCCTTAAAAGGACTTATGAAGGATTGTTAACAGTCAAATTGTTTTCCAAATAACTGCTGTCTAGCCCTTACAAAAATTTATAATACAAGAGACTGGAATTCCCAATCATCATATTTTATTATCTAGGGGCTTCGGAAGTAGTGCTGAGACAAAAATATTTTGAGTTGTTCTAAAGAAGAGGGAAGGCGGATGAGGAACAGGAAAAATGAATAAAGAAATTAAAACCTTTCTACATGTTGTTACTGGATCATCAGAGTAAAACGGGGGATAACCAACAAGCATCTCATACATGATAGCACCAAGAGACCACCTGCAACCAGGCAGAATTGATATTAGCAACAAGCCTACAGTTCCACTTCAAGAAAGGAAACGTTGTTTTAAGCAAAAGCAGCATTTTCCCAGTAAGAGCAGCGAAACAGAAAAATAATCTCCACCAGATACTGGTTAAACACAGGAGTCTTTTAAAATCTTCAATTTTACTCTCTCTTTTTTCACATTTTTCCATATCATTCAAATGCTCTTGATGATTTCATTTCAGTTCAACTAATTTTTAAATTTCAAGACATCTAGTTCGTAAAGATCAACTGGGGAAAATATCCAGTCAGAATTATTATCTATTGAAATACTAGTATTTGACCACTTAACTTGCCAAGGCTCACTTCAATATCACTTGATGTTACTTCAGTCAAATGATCACAGCAGGACATAATGACTTCTGTTCTTCATCAAATATATAGATACCAAAAACAATCAAGTTCTTGTATTTGTCTCATAAACAATTTATGTTATGAGGGAGGAAATATTTATCCTCTTTGAACAGCCATCTTTCATTAGATTCTAATATTTCTTCCTTTTAAAATAAATTGCTAATATTTTGACCAAAAATAAATAAATAAATTGCGAATGAGAGTCACATTTCATGGTAGAAAACATCGGAGAACTGCAAGAATTACATTAATCATGTCAAGCTATCCAGCTTTGCATTTAAATTTGATCCTTTTCCTTAGGAAGATTCAATTGCAAAATCATTTAATACAAGAGACAAGGAATATCCGAGAGTGCTAAATTTTTAGTGCAGCTAAAACTGGACTTGGGTGAACTATCAAGTTTCATTTGGATAAACGTGAAAGGTTTTCAGGGCGCCCCAACCCTTTTCACAGATGCTTTTCTTTTCATGTAAAAAATGATTTTAAACATTTACTAAAAAATTATGATTCTTTTCTTGGGGGTGTTTGGGATGATCAAAAAGCACTTTTAAAAAGTGTTTTCACAAAAATCGAGATGAAACTTTTCTCACATACTTATTTGTGCACGTAAAATCACTTTTAAAATCATAATTTGGTTTCCTCCCAAACATCCTTAGTCATGGTCCCTATGGATAGGAGCATGCACATATAGAAAAGGTCACTACATTAAATCTTAAAATTAGCCTAGATATTCATTTTGCAGTATCTTTCAATTAAAATCTCACTAGAAAACATGCTTCAAAACGGTTCCTACATACAAATTTTGGCTGAAATATCGCAAGTCGCTTCATTTCACTGTGACAAATGTTATCTTGGGTATAAACACTTAGCAGATGGTATAGTATTTGGCGCATGATATTCAAAAACGAGATATTCTATTGACTTTATAATAATAAGCATATGCACAATTCACTAGCCCCGTTATACTTAAAAGTCTACATGACATCATTTGGAACCTAGAACTCTATGAATCTCATCCAAAGATGTTAAATAAGAAGTCGCTGAAAATTCATTATCTTTCTTCCTTGGGTGAAAACTGCAAATTTATTATCTGCTTTCACTTCAAAATGTGCTAACTTAATGATCAGATGCAGCTCAAATAAAAGAAACTAAAAGCAGAATATCAACGGACCAGTCACACTCCACACCATATCCCTTTTTAAGCAACACTTCAGGAGCAATATAGTCTGGAGTTCCAACTGTGGAAAATGCCTGTCATGAAATAAAGAAATGAGTAGGAGAAGGATATGTATGCAGGTATCTAAAGATAAGATCCGTTAAAATGATAAAATACAATTCACAACTGAAATTTCATGTGTTAATGCTACATTTGAGGCCTTAAATGATTATTTATGATGTGTATATTAATCATTATGGAGCTTCTCCTAATAGCTTAACCTTGGAAAATTGCCAGATCAGTATTAGGGATTTCATGATTGAGTGATCAATAGTTGAATACTTGTTTCCCTGCACTTCCATAAATTACTGATTATCTACCAACAAGATGTCCGCAATAGAACATTTTATTTGCCACTACCGGAAACAGGATTTAAACTCATACCATGTGGGTATGAGCCAAGTTCTCATAAACTCAACCAACCTTTGTAACCCATAAACTAAATTTCACTCTAGGGTATGGTGGGCCAACACTTCGCCTGACGCGTCAAACTCAAAGGCCTTACATGCGAGAAGGCATACTTGAAATATATATTAAAAATCACTAATAGCCCTTGCCCAATAGCTTAAGGTTTTTGGGTGAAATGATTCCAAAAGATTATTAGAAAATTAGAGATTAAAAGGTAAACAACTGAAAAGCATTAATCTCCTATTTGGTTAAGAATTGAGAATTTGAACCTTATGCCCAACATTTGGAAGTAAGACAAACATTGTAAAGCTTTGATTCATTTTCTGATCCATCAATCCCCAGTGATAAAGTATTTTCCATATTGTTTAAGAAAGACAACTGCGCAGCAAGCATGATGATGTATAAGATGGCACATATCAGATTGCGTGTTTACCTCCAACTTACAGATATCCTTTAATTTTTGTGAAAAATAAATTACATATTTCTTTTAGGCATTTTTAAGAGGAAATGAAATCAAATCTAAGCAGGCAAGCAACAAAATGTTATTTCTGAATGTAGTTATAAAGCAGTTACCAACTTCCTCCTATTTATTTGCCAGTGCTGAAGTTGTTCAAGGGGACTTTTCCAGCGCCGTCCACATTTAGAATTTGGTAAGGATTCATCAATGTCCATGGTATCACTCAAGTTCTCGTCATCTAAGACTTCGCCCTCATTTATTGATGATAAATTTGTGCAATCAAGTGGCTTGCAAAGACCAAAATCAGAGAGTTTCATATGACCATTTTTGTCCAAAAGAAGGTTGTCAGGTTTTATATCACTGCAGAAAGGAAAAAGGAAAAATTTACAGTGGTGAAATCAGGTTCCAAGAGAAAGACCATGCTACCCACATAATGATCCAGATATAATTACCAACCGATGAATGTAATGATGTCTATGAATAGATTCTATGGCTAAAACGCTTTGAGCGATGTAAAATCTAGCCACACTTTCAGTCAAGGTTTCTTCTCTAATCAGCAAAGTCATTAAATCACCACCCGGTAAATATTCCATTATCAGATATAAATAATCAGCATCCTGAAAGGAGTAATAGAGTTTCACAATGCAATGACTCGCAACTTCTGCTAATAAGTTCCGCTCAGCTCTGACATGTTCAACCTGTATTGCAAATGTAGCCAGCAAGATTACAAAAACAAACAATTTGCAGCATATGATGAAACTTAAACATAAGAGCTGAAAGAACTCTTCTTTTATGAGTGACATAATTTAAGAATGGAAAGAACGGGACTTCGTACAACTTAATTATAATGATAACTTACCTGCCCCCTACTGAGCATCTCAGACTTTCTCAACTTTTTCATGGCATAAATATTGCCTGATTTCTTCTCACGACAAAGTCTTACCTGTGTAATCGTATTTTAAAAGCATTGAATCAATCTCATGGTACAGTCATAGAAAAAAAAGTAAATGGCTTGTAAAATTCACAGCAGGATCTGAGGATCACGCGTGACCTGCATATTTAACCAACATACACTGAAGCAATAATAACTTAGAAGAAAAGAGAAAGAGATAGATTAAGAATGGTAAATATGGTAATGGGATGACACAGGATTAAGGAAGGAAGAAACTACAAGGAAAGGTATTTTCTGGTTCAAGCACAATCAGTAGTTAAACTAGGCCAAGATTCTTTAGAGGTAATTATAAACAGAAACCTGTTAAGAAATTTAGCGTCAATAATCTGTTATATCAGTTGAATGCATAGGGGTAAAACATTTAGAAATCTGAAGTATTGCTTAGAATGACTAGCTTTCATTTATCAACAGATCTTTTCAGCAACCACCAAACCATGACCTTATTCTAACAAGGTCTTCTGAGCTACAATGGAAACATAAATTCTCCCATATCAATCAAAAGTGAAGAGGAGGAGGTCCCCTCCTTCATGCTTTCAACTCTGATACTCTCTCCACTTAAGACTTCTTATCTGATAATAACAATTAAATTGCAGCATCAACATTTATCACTGTCCCGTTGATGATGCCTCTACAATTTCCAGCAAACAAGAAAACTTCAATCTTACAGATGATTATGTAATGAGAACCTTAAATACTTCCCATGCAGCTTGACCATCATTGGGCCAGACACCTTATGCACATTTAGGATGATGATGATAGCCACCAATGAAAGGAAACCTACAGATACCTAACATCCTGAATTTAGTAGCCGTATGCCTATGCTTTTGGCAAAAGAATATCCCCAGCATCACAGTTTCCACAGGACATCATCATCATGTTGCAACTATCAATTCAATGGCTTTCAGGTTTTCCAGACTAAATAATTTTCTGTTCTTAAAGAAGAATTTTCTTTTAATTGTGAAATTGCGCTGCAAGATCGGAATTCACTTGTCTTTGAGAATGTAGAGGGCAAATCGAGGCAAAATAAATGACCAATGGGCAACCATGTGCATAGTTGCCATGTACAAAAAACATGCTATTAGGAACGAACGGAAATTCTGATTTAGATTCATGGAAGTTAGTGAAACTTTGAAAGCAGATGTTCCTCTAGTTTTCCTCTTACAGTTTTTTCTTCCAATATTTTTTTCCCGTTGAAATCTTAGTTCATATCAGAAAAGTTTACTCCCGGCAAGCTCCGTTGTTTCAAAGATTAGCCGGGAAATTATTGGAAATAGTTAGTTTAACCAGAAGAACTGATTATTCTCCCATGTTAAAAATAAAATTGGGAATTGCGTCCCAGATTTCCAACAGACTTCAAAAAAATATGCTCTAATGGCACCAAAATTAAGGAACAAAAAGAGGCCACTAATGACTTAATCTCATTGAACACATTTGTACCTCTCCAAAGGCTCCCCTCCCAATAATATCAAGAAGGTTAAAATCACTGACACATATTTTGTGTCGTTTTAACCGTATATACTCAGTCTCCTTGCGCTCTAAATCTTTCAGTTGATGCATCTGTTCTTCTTCTGGTACATGAGAAGATGCTAACTTCTTTTCCAGCACTGAACGCCTGCAAATAATAAATTTATGTCAGGTAATATACTGAGATCAGCAAGAAAGAAAAAGATAGATAATAATCAATTAGAGTTCTATCATATCAAATATCAATAATATTCCATCATAATGAAATTCAAATTGTGAAGTGTCTAACGGAACTAAATTACTGAGGGGCCACAGAAAACATAACAAGTGCGCAAAGGAGACGGCCACACTGATGATGTATAGGCCTTTCAATACATGCATACGGTGCATAAAGGAAGGATTGTCCCATTCAAGTAGAAATATCGAAACCACCTTCCCCTCCTCCCCAGTAAGTTGAAAACTCATAGTACCAATCGATTTCTTCAAAAAAAAAAACGCAGTTGACATGAATTCATCTTCCACCTGCTTCGCTATTGATCAGAGGTGTGTGCTCATATATCCTCGAATAAATGGCCTTGGACCACAAATAAAATTTACTATGATTATCGACAACTTCTTTGCGCACGCATTGGAAGGACAGCATTTCTTCGTTTTTCAAAATTTTCCAGAATTTATGTATGGAGAAAAGTAAGAAAAATTTTTCAAATATTCATTATCAAGTCCTTTAACAAATTAACATGGAAAAGAACTTTTAAAAAAATTCAATGTGATGCTAAATTGATTCAGTAGTGATATTGTAATAAAATACTACTCCAAAGGGCCTTATGCTTAGAAAATGTTTAAATGGAAAACTGCAAAGAACTTTTAGATGCCTAGTAATCCAGATAATCTTCAAGTATTAACAAACATGATTAAGCATGCAGAGACCAAACCCAGACCTGATAATACACCGAGTATGAATAGCCAGAATATGAAGGGTCCATACCCCATAACCCGCATAAATTACAGAATTAACAGATTCGCAATTGGCATCAAGTCCAAGAATAAACATGTTTGACGAGGAAGACTTCCAAAACACCTCCAGAATAAATAAAGCATGAAAAGGAAAAGCCCCCCAAGTCCCAACGACACGCAAGAAAATGGGAGACAAAATCATAAGCGTAAAGAGGGAAGATTGTCAAAGGAGCTGCCTTTGGTGGTAGGAGAAAAGCATTGTTGTCAAGTTAGTTCTTCTCAACATATTTTGATCCTAAATAATAAGAATTAAATTAAATATATTTATTAAAAAAAAAAGTTGACGTTTTGAGATTCTCCAGCTTAATTTAAGATGCACGTCGCTCTAATTGGAGGATTCTGAATTGTCTCGTCAAATGAAAGGAGGGTACTACTGTATTACCTCTCTTTGCGATCTTGTATGAGCTTCATCTGGGCTTTGTAATGGTTTTCGATGAACTTCTTGGCGACAGCCACCCTCTCCATCGTTAAGCTCGAACCTGCCTCTCCTTCCTCTTCTCCCCCAACCATGGGTCCCACCTCCTCCTCCTCCTCCTTGTCCACCCGAACGTCTTCCATTTCCGAAGCCCTTCCCTGTACCAAACTTTCTTCAAAGATTCTTTTTCCTTTCCTCTCTCTCTCTCTCTCTCTCTCTCTCTCTCTCTCTCGCGATTTGGATAATTGAGACAATGAAGCCTCGAGACTCGGGACGAAGAAGACCTCTTACAAAGAAACGCTTACATGTCTGTCTTCCCACGAGTGTTCACTACTGATTAGCCCTTTCCGGAATCTCCGCAATGTCGGACATCTAAGATGTCGAGGTGGTAGACAACATCTTGGGATCACCATGCACCACCACTCATCAAGCCCTAATCCTACGGCCAACGGTTATCGACGACATTGTTGTTTCTCTAAATTTGCCACTCCAATTAACTATGATCCCAAGTCATTTCTAGCTTGAGCGAAAATTATGCCATTGATAGAACCTCTGAAGAAGACTCTGTGACGGTTCTCAAGTCAAAAAAAAAAAAAAAACAATGCCAATATAGCTCGACATGGCTGTACTATCCTGGCTTTTGATATTCTTTTTTAGAAAGAATGGAGCAAAACACAGCGGCCATCTACAAGTTTGTGGATTTTTAACCAGGCTTTATTTGGAAAACACCAAACAAAGATGATACATTCTCTGCATGTGAGAGAACTGTAGAAGCAGATTCACCGTTCATGCTTTCTTCTTCTTCTTCTTCTTTCTTCTCTGATTTTGAGGTTGATACGGCGAGTAAATCGGGTTCTCATTGCAAAACTCTTCACCCTCCTCATAAAATGTATGGTAAATAGTCATGTCATGGGTTCTCTCGTGGAATAAGTGGGAAAAGAAAAGAGTCGTACTTTCTGAGTCTGAGGTGAAGAGAAGAAGAAAGTTGTGGCCTTTCCTTTTTGCCCTTTTTCCCCACTTTTTCAGGTAGGCAGACATATGGAATCTTCATGTTTGAATTTCTACCGGGGAGGCGAAACATGGAATCTTCAGGTATTCTCTGCTCCAGCAAAGTGATGATGAGGAACAGGATTTAGTGAAACTTATAACATTTAACCCAATAATGACTTTAATAAGGACATATTAGAGGCAATTTGTTAAAGTTTATTGTCATTTTTGTTTATTTTGTGTTTTGGGGACTACATAAGACAGGCTAAACACTCTAGGAAGATCAAACCTTCATATTTTTGCAATTTTGCCGGGACAGTACATGGCAAAAATAGTAAAATACTATATGTAAATGGTAAGTACAAAAGCCAAAACCATGTTGATAATAGTAATATATAAAGTGTTGATGTTGACTTTGACTTGGAGAGGACAAGAGTTCAAGAATTATTAAACAATGTGGGACACTGCACCTGACACGGAAACAAAAGGAAAAATGTGGCACTAAGCTTATGTTAGAAGTTTGTTTTTGGTCAAAAGGCTTATGTGAGAAGTTAGAAGTGAAGACCAAAAAAAGAAAAAGAATAGAAAAGTCAACACAAAAGGTAGCCATTTATACATGTTGTATGGGCAAGATACAAATGTGTCCTGTTTGACTAATGAGGTTTACGTAGGCTTGTGGGAAGTAACGGACAGGAGAAGGATTTTTTGTTTTTTTATTAAAAAAAGGACCTTTTATGTGTAAAATTGTGTATCCATGGATAGAAATTAATACCCATCATAGCGAGGATAACTCTGAATTATTCATATGATGATACAAATAAGACAAAAAAAGAAATTAATACCCATGTCTATAAGTCAGTTGGGAGTTAAATTTAATTTTAAATATGAGAATCACTATATCTCTTATATTTTTTTTTTTTAAAACTAATTTGTTTAACTTATAAATTAATATATATAATCTATTGTCATACAAAAATATTTTAAAAAGATTATATCACATCTGTTATAATAAATTAATTAATTTAATTTTCTTAATGTATATAAATTAATTAATAATTTTGTATATTAAGGACTAGAAATGGTATAATTGCAAAGTTTTATCTAAGCAAGGGAAATCAACTATATAAATCATCTAATAATATTAGACTCCTACGGACAATTTGATGTTCAAAATATCATTCACAGGAGATCATGTCGTATACCTTCCTAAATGTCTTCTTTTTTCTTCCCCAAAAAAGACAAAATGATATTAATTCAACAAGCATTCAATAGCTGACAATATGAGGAGAGCGGAATTAGTTTGAACTTTCAATGCTGATCACACTAATAAATACTCCTCCGATCCTAAATATATGATCATTTTAATAGTAAATTGCACTACAAAATTAGTTTTATATTTAGAACCGGAGGAGTATTTTGGTACTCTTCATTATGGTGAGATCTACACCATCCAAATATAGTTTTAATGGTCTTAATTTAAAATTTTTAAGTAATAATCTTTAAATTAAAAAGTCATTTTTGAACAAATTAACAAGTGAAATATTGTTTTTCTCTGGATTCTATACACTTTAAAATGAAAAAAATTAAAAAAAACATAAAAGAATAAAAAAAATTAAATCTAGACTGTGTATATTAAATCTAAATGCTCCGATGAGAATAATAATACTTATTAATCTGATGAGCGCTGAACTGGCTTCCAAATGGTACAAATAAGATTCTGGAAAATATTAGGAAATGAGGAAAAGGAAATAACTTTAACATAAAAGTCAGAACAAGGCTGGTAAAAGGGTAGAACGTCCCAGCCAATCATATCTACTGGAAGATGATAATCTCAATCTCACTTTGAGGAGTTCTTTTTGAACACGTGATTGAAAAAGCTGGCTTTGTCGTCACATTGATTGAATCATTGAACACGCGAACCTTTCTTAATGCCTAATTGGTCTCCGGCCACATCTTTTCATATGACTACCGAAAGGTCAAAAGTATAACTTAATTAATTTAAAGAAATTAAAAAAAATTATTAGGTTATTTAAAGTATTATATTTATTATTTTTTAATTAATTTGCATAATTTATAAATTGATATATAATCTAATGATACATACAAATATTTTAGCAATCACGTACGTAACATATGTTATAATTAAATAATTTAATATATTCTTTAATCTTGTTAAATTAATTAATTCTTCTATTAAGAATCAGAAATAATGATATGGATGTGCTACTATTATTTCTTCCAATTAGTTGAAATCCGGAGAGATCTATTTTGTACCATCCATATGCAATACCACCATTTTTCCTTGCACTATTTTGTCTTTGTACAAGTCACTACACATGCATCTCAATAATTATAATCACTGCTATTGAATAGAAATTATAAGCAAGTAATAGATGTCTCACTTCTCCGTATCATTTAATGCAGGGATAAGTCTCAGTTTTATCCTAAAAGCTTTTATATAGGAGTTGTGAATATCCTAATTTTCTTTGGATCATTATCATCTCAAAAGTATTAAAAAATGAGTAGTGAATCGCCCCCTAACAGTTAAAAATATTAAAGACCACCATTATTTTTTTAATGACTAGGGCGAATTTGCTCTTTTTTTAACACTTCTAGGATGATACTGATCTTTAAAAAAATTTTTGAATACTCATGGCTCTTATATAAAAACTTTCAAGCAAAGTGAGACCTACCTTCAATCAAAATGAATTCCTTTCCTAACTAGGAAAAATTACCTAATACCTTACAAGGCCATGGTGCAACAAATTATAAGCTATGTAATCCCTAGCCAGGACTGAATTAGCAGATCTTATGTTGTTCTCAGGTATCACTTCATCATCAAAAACGTCGAACTTCCACTCTGGATCCATCTCTTCGTTCCTCATCTCACAGATATTATGCAGAACACAGCAAGCCCCAAGAATCAGAGGCAAATCTTCAAGCTTCATCTCTCTTCTCTTCCGCAAACAACCCCATCTACCTTTCAATCTCCCAAACGCCTCCTTAGCAACCTTTTGAACATCCCCAATCTTCTCGTTAAACACATGTTTGCTCCAGGTGCGATTTTCTTCTGTATATGGAACCAAAAGCCAATCCATCAGAGGAAACCCAGAATTTCCCACTATCCATACATCTTCTAGATATCCCATATTGGCTCTCTGGTTTAAACAAGATATCTCTACCACTTGATCATTGTTCATGGAGCCAGATCCACCAATAAAAACATCTGTGAAGATCCCTTTAGGATCTACGACACCCTGAATTGTAATTGAGTATGAATTTTTCTGATTCCTCGCAGTGAGACGCCTGTTGAAATATTCAACTCCGTTGTTGATCTTTGGTGCGTTGATGGGAATATGGGTTGTGTAAATTGAGCCTCCGATATTTGGTATGCCGGAGATTTGTTCATACTCGTTCTTGATCATCTTCATCTTTGATTCATCGGGCCAGTGAATAACTTTAGGCATTAGAACTGTTTTGATGGCGGAACACACTTCGAGGACAAGTTTGTGACAGGTTGATACGCCTAAACCAAACTGTTCGGACACAAGGCGGAGAGAATCTCCAGTGGCTAAACTCCATATACACACAGCAACTCGTTGCTTCACCGGAATAGCCTCACGAAGCGTCGTGTTTTTTTTAATCAGCACCGGTCCGAGTTCGTCGCAGATCATGCTGAACGTTGCTTTGCCCATCCGGAACGATCGCCGGAATTCTTCCTCCGGGAAGTCAGGGTGGCTGCACTTTTCCCACCATTCCTTTGGCCGTTCCTTCACCCATAGCCGGCGATGGCGCAGACCCGAAGAAGAAGGCGATCCAGACCTCGCCGGCGCCTGAACTTTAGAGCCCACATTGTCAGAAACGAGGCCAGAAGTACAACAACGACGAGGTCTTTTGGTTAGCAAATGGTCGAACCCATTCATCTCAGAGCATGGATCCTGAAGTTGGATGTGATAGTCAATCATAGCTTGAGTTTGCTGGTTATGGTTACGCTGAACATGGCTTCATTTTGATCGGAATCCATGGCTTTCTTCTTCTCCGGTTGCTTCTCATCTTCGTCGTCCGACGGAATCAACGAACCAAAAATACCCCTTTGGTTAGCATTGTTGTTCATGCTGAAACAAGAATCCATCTCTGGGTACAAGTTAAGGAAGTGTGAAGTATCATTAAGAAAGGGGAAAGAGCTAAGGTCCATAAAGAACGAGTTTTTGTTGTTTCTGGGTTGGCCTGAGCTGTGGTCTGAGGAATTATTAGTTAGGATGATGAAGAAATATATAGGGAGAAGGAAGTGAGTGTGCAAATCTGAACGCCTTGTTGAAGATGGTGTAGTTTGATTGACGGAGACTTTGACTCATTTTTGGTAACCAAAAAAAAAGGTTAGGGAGAGATAAAGATAATGACAACCAACTCCCAGTTTGCAACATATTTACGATTTTTTTTTTGACCTGACAACATATTTACGATTGAGATCATATATCAATGAGATAAGTCTATAAAATGATGTTGAAGGGCATTGG